ATAAAATTATAATTTGGTAGTTAATTTTAATCTGTAATATACAATATAAACTAATATACAAAAGAACATTTTACTAAATTATTTTAATAAAAGTATTAAACTGTACATTTCAATAAATATATATTATTATTTTCAAAACTACATTTGAACAATTTTAACAACAAAATATGCATTTTTTATATATTATCTAATTACTTTTTGTAGAATTTAGTTTCATTGATTTATTGAAAACATTACATAATCTTTTTATAGTTGCTCTATTCGTGATTAAATAAATGTAATATATAATCAAACAAACAAATAAAAATTAGGAGCTTTTATGGTATGAAATTATTTTCCTTTAGTAACTTATTTAAAATAAACTTCAATCAGACCACCTCCCTCAAGTTATATTGTTTATAAATAAATTTTTGTTTTGCAATTTATTGATTACTGATGATACACAAAATTTATTTAAGTATATTTAATCATTGTAAAAATTTTTTTTATACAATTAGTTCGTTACGGCATTATATCATTTATAATTTATTAAATTAAATTATTCCTCAGAAGTTGTATTAGTTCCTCGAGTTGTATTATTTTTCGATGTTAATTTGTTGTACACATTTGTTGCAAATTTGGCAGCTTGATAACCTGAAATGAACAAAAACAAAATTTTACTAGATGAAAAATCTAAATTTTAGTTTGATTTCTATAAATGTTCTTCAATAAAAAAAGTATGGGACGTAACTAAATTGTATACAAAATTGCCCACAAAATTTCCACTCTCTTAAATTGATTCTAGCGAAAGTTTTAAGGTGACTAAATAAGCTTATTTCAAAATAAAATTTAAATAATATACTTACCATAATATAATGGTACCAAAGGTGGTACAAATAGCAAAGGAAAAGGTGGTGTAATCACTTCATGTACTTTTTTAGCTAAATCAACAACTTTATTTATTGGTCCTAAAATTCCATAAACTTCAGGATTTAAAATTGAAAATATCAAAATACAATATATGAACTTGTGTTTCATATTCATATTACCATACTAAAACTTACGTCGTAAAAACAATTTGCTAAAGTACATATTGCAAAATATATTTATTGCAATCTTACGAAATATATTTGCCCTTAACAAATATTTCATGATGTTGACATATAAATCCAATATAAATTATTTACATAATATTGAGAAGTCGTTATATATTTAATTATTAAATACATTAAATAATTGTTTATATATTTCTACAAAACATGTTTGTAATGTATCGCAATTTTTTTTTTGCAGTACATTGAAAAGTCAGAAAAGTTGATTGAAATCAAATAGTACTCATAAAAAGAAGCTTATTTTTATTGTAATTATAAAATAACTTTATTTTTAATAATATTAGTTACTATTATATATATTACTATAATATTACATTTTTTTACTTGTTTTTTTAGCATCACTCCATGCAATTTTTAATTTTTAATAAATTTTAACAATAAATCACTACAAATGACAGCATTAAATTTCAAACTGAAACTTAAAATTAATATTATAATTATACTTTAATAATTTCATTTTCTTATTATCGATATTAATAATGAACATATAAATACAATTAATTTTGTAGACTTAATTGGACAAGGCTAATTTGTAGATTAATTTTGCAACGATATAAAGTACTCCATCAAAAAGTTTGAAACTTAAATTTAAATATTATAAGCAAAAAATATATATCTATAGTAAAACTGTAGAGTAATTAATGAATTTAGCCACTGAAATGGAAAAAAATAAATATTGCTTTTTTTTTTAATTTTAAACGTTAAAATATTTTTCGTCCCAGAATAAAAGTATAAGTTTGATGTTTAGAACGATATTTATTGAAGCCAATACATTTTTAGGTTTTAGTATAAAGTTATTTGCCCGGTAATTATTTTATAATCAATGAAGTATTTTATTTATACTTCTGGATAATCGATTTTGCAACGATTCAAATAGTTGGATATTGAAGTATTGGCCATCATATTTTTTATATAGATTTCTATCCCCTTAACTGTGCTAGAGGTTGGACTGAAAAAAATTCAATAAATTACTAATTCTAGTAGAATATATTTTATATATAGAGTTCTAATACAATTTCTTTATTATATCTTACAAATGCCTGTCTTACAAATGCCTGTCAAAAGCCTATAACCGCCTGCGCCAAAATCTGATAACCCAAAAATGCTGGGAATTTTCAAAGAATATACGTTACTTGGGAAAATTACTAAAATAATTGCAAAAACTGTGAACAAATTAAATTTAGATTCATTTTCTTAGTATATACTAAACTTGATCTAAGTTTATTACTACAATCTAAGATAATAATGAACTAGAAGTCGACATTTCATTTTAATTTATATCAATCCTGACAAAAGATGTGCTCATTGTGATTTACGTATAAATAAATAATAATCTACGTAATCTGATTTCTACATGTTTATTTAATAATTGTTTATTTATATTTAATACTATTTGCACTAATCGATCTTAATTGAAAACATATACTTGGAGAGAACAATTTGAGACAATTAAGATAAAATTAACATTTTATTTGAGATGAAATTATGCTCTTTTTTATCTAACACTTATTACAAGTATTATAAAAATGAAGTTGATAAAAAAACTCTTGAAATATTTATCATAATATAAAACATAATTTATCTACTATTATATATATATATATATAATATAATATTTTATTTTATTTATGGCATATGACCGTGAAGTCATTTAACCTCTTATTACATAAATAATATTTTACAATTTATAAATACCAGAAAAATACATATTTCACAAATTGTTTACTACATAAGATTGTGACTTAATTCATAAAACCTAAATAACTAATACTTTTATTTTTTTTTAGTTCTATATTTTAATATTACATTTTTGTAAGAAATTCACAAAAATTGTATATATATTTTCATCATTAGTGGAAAAGGCTATTATGGTGTTAATAGGAAAATATTATTATATATAATAATTTCCCAATTAAACATTCACAAAACACAAATGAAAAACTGAAAATTCTGAAAATTATTGAATATTTTGAAATTCTTTTTTTTTTTGTTTTTAAACCCTCAAATCGGATGTTCAATTGTCTTACAATCGAATTTTATCAAAAAATATTTGAAAAACTTAAAAATTTTTTTAACTATTAAAACCGAATATTCAGTTGTTCAATATTTGCGCTTTCTTTTCTAATCCGTACCTCCAAAATTGCTGGACCTGCCTTTGTTAAATACTAGTCAGCACGTGTTTCCGAATGTTTTTTTTTGATCCGTTTTTTTAGAACTTGCTAAATGACATACATACAAAACGTACAAACATAAAACAATTACTTGTTATTGTAACTTTTCAAACGTAAAACTTTATTTAAAAACTCTAATTTCGTTATATTAATTGACGCAAAAATATTTTGCAATAACTTTTATACATTATATTTTGATTATGAAAATAAATTGAGTTTCTACTACAAAATATATAATATATTATATATACATTGTTTATTTTTGCAATATTGATTTAGTTAGAGAGTAAAATTTATTCGTATTCAGGATGCAGATGATTAGTTTATTAAATTTTGTTTTAATATTTTTGATTTTGATTACGATGGTCAATTTAAACGATGCTTTTCCAAATCCGGGGTTGGATCCAGGTGAATATTTATTATAAAATATATTTTTTTGTTATGTATTTAGCTTATAAGTTTTAGATTTTATATTAGTCAAGTGTTTCTTTTAAAGTTACAAATATTTGTAACGTTTATCATAATTTTAATTCAATTTTTTACCTCTGAAGAAAACAAAAATCATTTACCTTTCATTGGTACAATTATAAAAAAAATTACACAACTTTTGCACATAATAATATTTATTATTTTTATATAACAATTTATTTAAAACATTTTCTTACATTATAAACAATGTGTTCATATTTATTAGAATTTTCAATTATTATTTTTAAAAATATCTTGTGATTTTTTCTTCAACAGCAGCTTCATCTGCTTTTTGGCTGCTTCAACCACAATCTTTACTAACTGTAAAAAAAATAATTTAGTTTTTTTTTAATTATAATTTTTTTTAATTATAAACCTTCTTATAACTTCTCATGTACAGAAGATATTTAATAACAAATTTTCTCATTATTGGCATATATATAGACTTATAATTAGTGATTTTTTGTTCCGCAAAAATTCGGTTTATAGAGGAGTAAGATAAATCATAAAAGATCAGAGTGACTCAATTACATTTAAATTTTGTAATAATAAATTTATTTTATTATTTTTAACTAAAATAGTATTGGCTGCTAGACAAGGAACAACGAAAAGAGATGGGGATGCAATTATTATAACTTTGACAACAAAAAGTCCATTGGGTTTGGCAAAGCAATCTGTCGATAGATTTTTACAACAAATTTTTTAGAACTAACAATAAGTGACTTTAAATTATAAACATAGAAAAAACTATATATACAATATATTTAATATACAATATATTATATATACAATATATTACATATTCCGTTTTAACATGATCGTCCAAACCGTTTCTTTGTAAAAGTGTAACGATCATAATCGTCAAATTTTTTAAGTCCAAAAAGATTGATAAAATTCCAAAATCTATATTAATAATTTATAAAAAAAATCTGTACGATTGAGTTATTTCAGAATGCGCTCCCAATTTTGGTGTTTGCAAAGTATATCCAAAATTATCATAAATAATATTACAAAAAATAGTTAAATAACAAATTAACATAATTAATAATTAGTTGTAATATTTTAAATAATGAGATTAGATAATAAAGCACCTTTATATAGATAAAATTATGTAATGTTTAAACATAATTTTTGGACAAATTTATAGCATAAATTACATAATAAATTCAGTTACTATTCTGGAATATAATAGTTAAGTTTTCAGAAAAATAAAACAAATAAATAAATACATGATAAACAAATAATACTTACTGAAAATATTTATATTTTGTTATCCAGTAAAAGCTCTAGCAAGTGATGCTCCACTGCCACCTAAAATATATAAAATATTAAAAAATAAATTATTGAAATAGAACATACTTATACATCGCATATGCTTTTGTCTTACAATTTATAAATTAAAACATAATAATTACTACTTATTAAATAATTTACTTTGATTTTATCTTTATTTTTTATAAGTATCATAATACTAAACGATATACTATAATAAGAATTCAGTTACTTCTGCTGACTTAATTTTTAGTAAAATAATAAAGACATATTATTACTATGCATAACATTTTAATAAATATTAATTTTATTCACCAGTATTTTGATAAGGTTGTTTGGTCTGAGAACTTGTAGGAACATTATTTGCTTTTGATCCTGATATTAAAATTAATAAAATCATGCTTATAAAACCGAATATAAAATTTAACTTCATTTTTGAAAATATTCAACAGACTGATTCAATTAATCCACTGAATAAATAGAAATCACAGCTCCTTCAATTTATATCAATCTCAGTTTGCTCATGATAATTTTATTTCAAAAAAAATATTTCTTAGTTTGTTTAATATTGCAAAAATCGACAAAAATGTGCTGTGATATGTAAATATTGATACTTTGTTAATACAATTGTGTAATGTTAAATAAATAATTTTGTAATACTTCATTCTTATAAATATTTCAGACGAGAATGAAATTATTTGTTAGTAAAAGATGAGTTATTCGAAATATCTTCTTAGAGAAAATTCTTAGAATTTAAAACAAACCTATAATAGATTATTAAAAAAATATTTTTGTATGTGTTGTATATTATATGTATATACTTTTTGACCCAAGTTTCTTGCAAAATTTGATGAATGGACAAACCATTTGATTTTTATAGTCCTATAAATTAATGTACTATAAATTACTATCTTTAAGCCAAAAATAAATCTGTATTTGTACTTTTAAATTATTTATTTTTTGTCAAAAAGTCAGGTCATACAACTCTTAAGGCAAAATAACACTCACATCTTAAAATATTAATTCAAAATCAATTTAATATGATCATGGCTGTACATAAAACATATTTATTACAATTTTAAATATGTTTTGACATAACATTTTCAGGCTAATGAAATCGAGTTTTATTTTTGTCAACTTGATCAATTTTGTTTTTTCTTACTTTTTTTGGCTTTCTTAGAAGAACTTCTTTTTTTATTTTTATTCCTTTTTTTTGTTGGACGCAACTTATTTATTATTTGTACCATCATCTTGTTGTTTTTTCAACTTTGGAGCTTCAGTTGATAAATCTATATCAGATTTGATATTTGGTTCAGAAGTTGACTCAGATGGAGACAAAACTTGACTATTTTCTTCATCTTTGGTAGAATTTTCAGAAATTTTACTAGAATCTGAAACTGTAGCATTTGGAATTTGGATATCCACGTTTTGATTACTAGAATCTGTATTAGATTCACTTATTTTTTGCTTTTTATTATCATTTGATGGTACTGAATTGCTTTGGTTACCATCACTATTTATGGCTTGAGATTCTTCCAAAGTCTTCATAGGAATGTATTGATGTAGTTGTTTCTGGAATTTGCTCTTTATTTATACTAGTTTCAGTACCAGGTTCATCAGATTCATCAACGTTTTTTTGACTTTTTGGACTTCCAGAAGATTCATCAGTTACATTTTGTAGATTTTTATCAGTTTCTGTACCTTGATTTTGTTCATTGGTACCTTGTTCTGTAAAATTTGTATTTGCATATGACGGATCCTCTTTAGGTTTAATTTGTGATTTTTTACTTAAAGTTTGTGGAAATTCTAAGTTATCATCTTCATTATTTGTGATGGAACTTTCAAGAATTCTATTAGATTCTGATTCTGTATCTTAGTTGTCCTATTTTTGTTCATCAGAATTTGTACCAGATTTAGCTTGTTCTTTTGATTTTTGTTCTCCAGGATTTCATCTGTATTTTTGCTTTCAGATTCACCAGAATTTTCTAAGTTATTATTTTCATTATCTTTGACAGAATTTTCAGGAATTTTATTAGTTTCTGATTCTGTGTCTTGATTGTATATATTTTGTTTACTAGAATTTGTACCAGATTCAACTTGTTCTTCTGAGTTTTGTTTTCCAGTACCCATATCACTTGCTTTTGGAAATTTTGGATTGTTATCTATATTTTTGCTTTCAGATTTACCAGAGTTTTCTAAGTTATTATTTGCATTATCTTTGATGGAATTTACAGGAATTTTAGCAGGTTTAGAAACTCCATCTTGGTTGTCTATTTTTTGTTTACTAGAATTTTTACTAGATTTAACTTGTTCTTCTAATTTTTGTTTTCTAGTACTATCACTTGGTTCTGTAGATTTTGGATTTTTATCTGTATTTTTGCTTCCAGATTTTTCAGAATTTTCAATTGGTTTTGATGTAGTAGGTAATTGAATTTGTTTTGGCTTTGTACTAGTTTCAGTATCAAGTTGATTGGATTCATTCTGTACTTTGTTTTCTAGAGTTTCAGAAGACACGTCAGATAAATTTTGTCGATTTGAATTTTGATTATTAAGATTATCATTATGTAGAACTTTTTCATCTTGAGTTTCATTTTAGCACCTTGATCTTGAAATTTTTATATTATGTTTTGAATATTGTACATCTGTGTTTGTTCTTGTAATAGATTTTTTGAAGATTTGACTTTTTTGTCACTTGATATGGGTGTAGACACCACGTCATTATTTTCTTCATTTGTTTTCAGAACTTGCACTTGGTTTTAAATTTGTAGGACTTGCTAATGTAGTTGATTCTTGAGTATCTGCTTTTTTTTACTAGATTCCGTACTACATTCATCTAATTCTTCTGATTTTGTTTTCCAAATTTGTTGACTCTGGAAGATCTTATGGAAGATTTTATATTTTCACCAGTATTTTTGCTCTTAGATTCATTCAAATTCGTTATAGGTTCTGTTGTAGTAGTTTCTTGGTCTTGCTCCAGCTTTTTTACACATTTCAATAATAGGTTCATCAGAATTACTTTTCTCAGAACTTTCAGATGATGAATTTTCAGCACTTTGTTGATCTTGGCTATCCCTTCTTGTTCTTGTTCACCGGATTTAATTAATTATCTTTTTCTTCAGTATTATCTGAATCCTGTGAACTTTCGTGGTTGTCTTTACTATTTTTACCTTCAAAAGAATTTTGGTCGTCATCATTTTCTTTGTCAGATTCTTCTAACTCTTTGATTTGTTCTGATATTGTAGTTGAATTGCCTGGGATTCGTACTTTGTTTTTACCAGTTTTAGGATCAGTTTCATCAATTTTCTTTACTTTCTGGCTTTGTGGACTATCAGCTGATTCATTAGATGCATTTTCCTTATCCTTTTCATCATTTGGGACAAAATTTTTTGGATCATCACCTTTTATATCATCAGATTCTCCAGAATTTCTAATTAATTTTGGTGTAGTAGTTGGTGTCAATGTTGTAGTTTCTTGGACTTGCTCTTTCTTTGTACTAGTTTCAGATTTTGGTTGATTAGAATTATCTTTTTTAGGCTTTTCTGGACCTTCAGAAGCTTCATGAGTTCGAACTTCTTGGATCATCTTCTTGATATTGAATATCATCTTTTATTTATTGATATTGTTTATTTGAATCCTGATCAAGTATTGGATAACCATTGTTTCTTTTACTGTCCAACGAATTTTTGAGTAGTTGTAATTGTCTTAAATATTGTTCTAGAAATTTTTAAAAATATTTTCATACGTGATTTTATAAATGATAAAAAAATATCTACCTTAGATTAATACCTCGTAATTTAAATGGTAACTTAACAATTTTAGCAATAATATTCTTTATAAGTTGCATCAACTTTGGTATATGTTCTTTTAAGGCTGCACCTCCAATAATTATAAATATTTTGAACAAATTATTAATAATATAAATTCAAACAACTGTTGAAAATTATGAATATTAAACTTGTTACTTACCTAAAACTGGAGGAATTGACCAAGGACTACCAGAACCCATATTTCAAGAAGGTGTTAAACTATTAGTAAATCTGTCAGCAGCTTTTGTTAAACTAAAATCATTTTATTAGTGACAAATGGATTTTTAATTAAAGTAAATCCATAACTAGACAAAATACAACTTGACATTAAAAATACTATCGCCAAATTCATTTTCGGTGCAATTTTTCTAAGTACAAAACTTGGAAGTGATAAATTTTCAAGGTGGATCTGTATTTATACAGATTTTTTTGTACAACTGGCGTTGTTTTAGAAAATTTTGATTTAAATGCTTTGTTTTTGTGTATTTGGTTAAATTGTGCAATATTTATATGTAAATATTTGTTCACAATTTGTATAAATTATATCACAAATAAATTTGTTTTTGATTTTTTATAATTTTTGTTAAGATATTTGCACAGAATTTTGGAAAACATAGAATACGCCAAATTTACTAATTTTATTAATACGGATATTAGGTAACAAATTGTTTAGAAATAGGTTTTACTCCTGACATTTATTATTAATTTTTTATATTGAAAAAAAATTAAGTAAATTTTAGATTAAAATTAAGTAGATGTATAATTTAATTTTAACCCCATATTTTATTTATTTGAATTAAATACGTTTTAGTATTTATAATATAAATTTAGTAATTCTACATTATTTTATACATCTGTACTAATTAATATTAAAACAGCATTTTTTTTAAAGTAATATTGAGTATAATAAATGTAACTAAATACATTTACAAGACAATATCAGTAAAATTTTCACATGGGATATAATAACTTCATTACCTAATTTAGTTACAAATAAACCAAGGATTTTTAATGTATCAATTTTTTTTTCTAAAAACTATTTTTTTGTCACAACTTCTTAGCGTCAGACACATATGACTGACATGATGATTAATGTGCTAAAAAATTTAAAACAAATTCAGCGATATAAAGGAAAAATATTTTTAATATTTCCAAATTGAATTCTCTGATTTCATTTTTTGACTTCATTTTTATTTTGCAATTTCGGTTATTTTTTTTTAAAAAAAAAAAGAATAAATACGTGTTTTGATTTTGTAAAATTTCTTGTAAATTATTTCTCAATTATTACTTAATTATAATACTTAATTATGTAACATTTTGTGTTCATTATTTATCAAATCATTACTACTATATAGTTACTCAAATGCTTATTTGTTATATGTGTATTTTTTATTCATATTCAAATTACAATCTGTCTTATAATTGGAAGACATTCCAATTTTAAATTTTTATTATGCAAATAATAATTAATTTATTTAAAAATAATTTATTTATAGTAATATTTTTTTATTATGCACATAAGACTTATTTTGAACCAACAATTTAAATAATATATAAAATTAATAATTTATAAATAAAAGTATCCAAATTTTTAATCAAATAATTTATTTGTCATTATGTTTTTATATATAAAGTACAAACATTTTTAGAAAAAATAGAAAATCATTAACTAAATGCAATATTTTCATAAGACTTCTATAGTTAACTAAACTGAATAGATGTCAATTATTTACAAAAAAATATTCAGTCTTATTCCATAATTTCTCTATTTAATTTAAGAATCAGTGATATTGCCACTTATTTTTTGCAAATTAAATTTTTCTCGTAACATATTAGTCAATTGTGCTAAATATTTTTGAATTTCTGCAATCGGATGAACTATAAAGTAAATAAAAATACCACTTAAATTATTTAAAAAAATTATATAAATATTTATTACTTACATATGGCTGTTAATACTGCCGATCCATATTGACCAAAATTTCCTAAAAATGCATTTGTTGATGGAAGTATTAAAGAAATTAATAAAATTCCGAAAAATAATTTTGTAAATTTCATTTTGAATTTGATTTTGTTATATATTGCCAAATCAAAGTGATAACTTGAATTTACTATTCATGATTATATATTAAATTTTAGACTTGTTTATTTATTTAGATATTTGTTTAAAATTATGCAATTTATTAATTAAATTAATATATATTGATATAAAATTATTGTTAATAACATTTTGTTTTGTATTTGATTTGTTTGACGTCATTGAAGTAAAATTTGAAAAACGAAATTCAAAATAGAATTTTAAAGTGCAAAATAGTTACATTTTTCCATAGGGCTAAAATTGCATGATGAACTTCCCGACATGTGTAAATAATATTAATAAATTTATGCTGATTTTAAAAGATTTCCAAATTTTTGTTTTTGAGTAAACGTTGACGTGAGGTCAAAAATCTGTTCACACACACACACACACATACTTTTTCCAAATTTGGTCTCATTCGATTCAGAATGGCTTGAAATGTCGAAAAAAACATAAAATTGGCAAATCGGGTTTTTTGGCGAAAATAACATAAACCTCATAAAGTTAACATGAAAAAGCATAAAGTTTATAATGTACAAATTTTTTATATTGAAAACACAATTTCAAATCAAATAGTTCTTAATGTGTTGTTATGAATGTATAAACAATATAACAAAGAAGTGGCAATACAATTCACAGATTATCATAATTAAATACATGTTTATGAAAATTTAATGAATATTGAAAAGAGTTTTATCAATGTCGATTATTCCATAAAAATCAGTCTAATGGGTCACATTTGAAGAACCAGTGGTACTTCTCCATCATTTTGCAAATTAAATTTTGCTTGTAACATTTGAGTCAATTTCGATAGTAATTCCTTGATTTCTGACAATGGCTGAACTGTAAAATTTTTTTTAATTAATTTATAATATTAATTATTATTTTTGCAAGGTATGTATTTTGAACAAATTACAATACTTGGACTATTTTTTATCACTTACATATAGCTGTTAAGAATCCATAGCCATTTTGACCCCAACTTCCTAATAATGAAGATTCTAAACAAAAAACTGTTGATGGCAAAATTATAGAAATAAGTAAAATTGCAAAAAATAATTTTGAATATTGCATTTTTTAATTTTTTCAATTTACTTAGCAAAATTGCCAAAATATTGCCAAATTAGTACTGATAACGAAATTAGCTTTGCTCGTTTTTTATATATGAAATTGTGTGCCTTGTTTATTTATTTAGCTAATTATTTATTCAAAATTATGTAATTCATTAAATTAGCTTAACGACTGAAAACAAGTATTTTTCGGTTTTGTTTAATTTGTTCGACGTAGATTGAATAAATTATAAGAAATAATCAAAAGTTGTATATAACATTTTATTTTAATAGGAAGAGAAATATTATGCAGTTCAATATACTTTTTTCGAGAATTTCTGAATTTCAAATTTTAAAATGCAAAAAAGTTTCGTATAAAATTTAGAAAACATATATTTTATCAAGATGAAAGTAATAAATCTAGTTGTGCGTGGCATCGTGCCTTAAGGCTGCCTAAATTGCTGGAGCTTCCCATACCGTAACGAAATGTTCGAGGAATATTAAATGTTTTCAAATAGATTATTATAAATATTGTCTAATATTTAAGGCACGATATTATAGGAATAATATACACTGAATTGCAAAGGTAAAATTATTATTTAGAGTATATAAGTGAGCTTTAGAATTTCAGCCAGGATTAAATTTAAAATCTGAACCACAAGCAGATTTTTTTTTGAATCATTTAAATCAGACGCTTAGTTCACTCAAAAACTGCCATCTTTCGCACATTTAGCTCTGTATCTTCGAAATGGCGGGACCTGTCTTTGCCAAAAATTAATCACCTCTGCTACCAAACATTACGAATTGAATGTTTTTTAAACCATTCAAATCGGATGATCTGTTCTCTCAAAAACTTGATTTGTATTTTCTGTACTCTTTGCTCCGTATCTCCGTAACGGCTGGACCTGCCTTTGCCAAAAACTAATCAGCACATCTCCCGATCAATAGGAATCTAATGTTTTTTGAACCATTTTTATCGATTGATCCGTGCGCCCGAAAACGTGGACTAAAATTGTATCCATACACACACACATCCATTTTTTCTGATGTATGCCAAAATGTTTAGAAACCTTCA